AAATAAAACGACATTACTTTCGGGACAACCTAATATAATAGAGAAAAACAAGTTTTACATTGAAAACTCGAAAAAGTGGCATTTTGGCTTTTTCGGACCATCTTGTTTCTCAATTTGAACCCCGAAAACACTTGTACTATAAAGTGTCTACTATATAATGACCTAATTGCAAGTCCACAGGAATTTCCTGAAGGGAGATGCGGTTTTTTAGGGTAGATGAAAAATCTTGACTCCGCTCCAGTTATCTGGTTCACGATCCAGGTGGGCCTTTGGCGGCCATTTTGTAGAGCTGGCTCCGCCCTATCGAAAGGTACCCTAAATTTGTTAGGAAAACAAAAACAGTTGTTAAAGAAAGGAGTTTACTTTTAGGAAAACCTAATAAAATTACAGTAAAAAAATTCCGAGGGCTACTAGAAAAACTCACAACTTGGACAAGTGAGCTATATAATAAACCTTTGAGGAGCGAGCGGCAAAATAGTTGAAGGCAGCGTCCGGGTAGATAGGGATACTTGGATTCTTTTCAGATTCTGGAGAGTACCGTAGTGTGAGCGGTAGACTATATAATCTGTTTGTGAAGAAAAAATTCGACATCATCAATACTCCAAACCGTAATCTGCTAACGAACCAATCAGCGACCTCGAGTACGGTAAAGCACAGTCTAGAAGGCTGATGCCTAGAACTGTGGTCAGTTTGTTGAGGGCCGTTATGGGCGGTGGAAACAAGATAAAATCCTCGCACTTGACCCAACTGAACCCTCTTTTCACGAGGAATGAATTGCTACATAAAGATATGCCCCCCCCCCAGATCTTCTGCAGATCATTGCTTGGGAATTCCTTGCGCAAAAGCCTCTCATGGCTCAAATCTCTGAAGAGAAAAACGACTACTTTGCTTCAGCACCAACACATGTCCTTTAACCTTTGTTGTTTCCAGAAATCAGAAATTGATTCGTATAGTGATGGTTTATGTCTTTGATTCATGTTGTTTAGGATTTACGTTGCTTAGTCCAGTATTCATCAGTGTTTCACATGATTCCACGAAAAAACCTCCCGGGAAATTTACTGCGATCACAAGACAATAAACCTTTTTCACGTTGGAAGTGCCATAAGTACAACAACGTAATATCTCACCGCATGCTTGAATGCCGACCCAGTTTTCTCGAAATTTCTTACTTTCAGTCCCTCTGTTTATGATAACATCACTTCCAACCCTGTAATGCAGTCGAAATCAGCTTCAGTTTTGTCTCGATTTCTTTTTTTTATGATAATTAAAAAAAGATTCTAGAAGATGTTTGATCCGATGAAATTTATGTCTATCAGAAGAAAATTCAAGTTGATTTATCCAACTCTTACCTAAAAAATGACCCTATCAGATTAGGCTAAGTAAGCTAGAAATTTGAATAAATCGATAATTCATCAAAGACACATCATAAATGGAATTGACTACGACAGGACATAACATAGTTGACTAAACTATCGCATAGGAACGGCTAGCTTGAAGATAAGCATGGACCAAAAAGGCATCAAAACACAAAACCTCAACCCATATAGACAAAAGTTATCACAGTAGGGATTGTCATGGACGAAAGAAACTTCACAGATGCTCGAAAAGTAAACTAAAGACGAGCAGAATCATGGTTCTTAATGAACCAGTCGACAGACTCCTTGATAGCTTGCTCGAAAGGAGTGAATTTGAAGTCGGGTAAATAACGCCGAAGTTTTGCGTTGGAAGCAGTTTTCTTCAGCTGACCGTCTGCTTTCGATGAGTCGAACTTCACTTCACCCTAAAGATAGTTGAGATTCACCAACAACTTGCAAACCATGTGTCAGAAGGCGATTTTTATCGCCAATAGCAGCGACGTCTCACAACTACCTCAGGCGCGAAGAATCAAGAGAATCATGAAATTCGCAATAAACTCTTTGAAGTATGGTGCACCGCCGCCTCGCCCGATGAAGATCTTATCATTAGCAAAGTCCAAGAAATTTTCTCACTTCAGTCTAGAAGCGCACGCAATTAGTGCTCACGCCATCCTTTACAAGATAAATATAAATCAGGGTGAACTATACACTGTCTTCATTCAAGACCCACTCCCAAAAGTTCCACCTTTCTGGGCTCAGTTTGAAGTCCGTAAGAGATCAAAGCCGACTGCACAAAATCACC